AACTCTTTAACTCTTTAACTCTTTAACTCTTTAACTCTTTAACTCTTTAACTCTTTAACTCTTTAACTCTTTAACTCTTTAACTCTTACAAACAAGGCTTCAAAGCTTCACTGATCTTTAAAAGACAAAGATCAACCCTTGGCATGCCCCTTTATACTCTGAGAGGCAAACTAATTGCTATCACCTGAATTACTGCCTCATCACCTAGGAAACAAGCTAATCAGTGTTCCCTCTGCCCACCTGGAAATTTAGCTATCCAGTTTGTAGAGGCTTCTGAAAACTCTTGGCCCAAAATATACTCCTTCCATAACTCACAGCTCCTAAAATCTTTTTCCACTCAGTCCTGAGTCCCAAGCATTAGTTTCCAAACTCAAAGATAAAGATAATGTTTGGGAGCATTGAACAATAAAGATAAAAAAAAGATAATTAAAACTTTTAGTATTAACTGATAATGTTTCACATTATATTACACATTTAAATTTTGAAATAATAGTAATAAAGAAATGACTAAAAAGTGTCCACAAAGTTTATACAGTATACAGTATAGTGGTATAATCACATAAGATAAAGCAACTTGTAGTATTAATACTTTTATTTAGAAATATTTTCCTTATTTCCCAAAGATTCAGAGGCTCTTAAATAAAACAACTTTATAAGACAGCAACATGCAAGCAGACTTCAACAGTGTAAAAGGAAAAAGTGAGAAGGAAAGCATTCCTACCATGCTTGTATTGTTAAATTCAAATCCAAATTTTAAGTATTTCTGCACACCTTCCTGTTTCATTGAAAGGTATGTCTCAAAAAATGTATGACTCATAATACGGATGGCTTTCATGGCTGGGAATATTTCCATCTACTAAATCACCATGTGAATGATCCCTCCTTCTCTGTATGCAAAGTTGTAACGTCTTCTGGCTTTGGAGTGCAGCCCTCATTGTTTCTGAGCACAGAGGAGTTAGGGCTGAGAGTGCTGCTGCAGCCATTAATCAAAGCAACCTGCTAATGAATTTCATTTCTTTCCTCACTAGTTCTGTTCATCACCAGAAACCATTTTCACACATCGGTCCATCCCACCACCCGTCAGCCACACGACTTATTTCAGGGTCTGATTTTCTTGGGAAACAAAAAACAGAAAACAGCCGATGAAAAAAAAAAACAGAAAATGACATCTGAGAGTGGTGAAAATACAGTCACAGCTGGTCTCAAACACACTTCGAGTTCCCATCACCCAACAGTTTAACCTAACATAGTGGAAGAACACCGACTTCACTTCATGACAAGCATTAAAAGAGAGAAGTACAGTACAAGCAATGCCACACTACCTTTTTAAAGGACTGGGAATAGGAAGGCAATCTTTTTGCCCTGTGAGACAATACTACGTTGTAGTGAATAAAAAACTGGATCCCAGGGATGAAAATTTATAACTAGAAACACTTGCTGAGTGACTCATGTGGTGGGGGTGGATGTCGTCTCTGTACAATCTAGGTTTTGCTGATATGAAAAATGTTCAACTCAAGTTATATTTAGAGCCAATGCTAGAATGTTTTTTTTGCTGTTCATTTTTTAGCTTATGTATCATTTTGGAAGCACAAGTATGTTTTCTAATATATCAGTACAGTTTTATACGGATAATTTTCTATGACTTGCAACTGCTTGGCATATACTGTACAGTTCAGCATGCTGAATAGTTAAGATTTTTAAAAATCACAATCCAAATACATTTTTAACGTTGCCTTAGCTGTGCTTTTCTAACTGTGTGGGTTGCTGCACATTTATGGCTTTTCATTAATTTCATCCTAAAGTAAGGTTCTCTTTCTGCACATATTCCATTCTAACCTATTGTAATACGCAAGGGTTGAGTACTGTAGGTCTGACTAAGAATCAAGCTCCAGTTGCCTGTACTGCTTCCGAAGCAATCATCTTTTTACCTTTTAGCCAAAGCTTGGAACATGATCTGGTTAAATATAACAGCCAGGGGCATATGTTTAAACCAAAAACAAGACAGACAAATGAGAATGCATTTAAACTAATTCAAAAATAATAAGCTATATTCAGTGACTAAAGGAGTTTCTGCCAAATATTGAGAAAAGGTGTAAATACTCATGCAAGCAACATATTTTAGATTCCAGTTCTTCTTTGCAAATTGTGCCGATGGTTAGCTTCTTTCACCCATAAAAAGTGTTTTGTTTTTTGTATTTTGTTGCTCCAAAACACTCACTTTCAAATGTGTCTCCATCATTTGCAGTTTAACAAAAGGGACACCATCGAAAGGAGGCTAATACCTTTGCAAAGAACTGTGCCCCTTGGGTTTGGCACAGCTGTGGTACTGTAATTGTGAATAACATTTAACGGACTAATATAATGCTACTGGAACTCCCAGACTGATGCACACAGAGGGGACAATCCACTTTGCTCTTCGATATTTTGAACAAGCAATTGTAAAGAAAGAGAAACAATTTGAATAGTATAGAAGCGTGAGTCACTGGCATGCCCAGTCTTTAAATACTATGTAAGAAGATGCACTGCCTGTGTGGGAACTCGGAAATTTCACTTTGATCCTAAGAGGGAAGTATCCTTTTCTCCTTGGTCTCTCTCAGGTGTTGCTGAGATCTGTAATCTGGATGAGGAATGCTGTCTGCCCTCATTCCCACTGCATTTTGACAGATTTACTGTTTAAACATGCTTTATTAATCCGTTACATGAATTTGCATAGGTGTGGCTCTAAAAACTCTAAAAGCTGAAGTAGAGTAATTCACCCGAATTGTCGTCCATTTGCACCGAAAAGACTGGTAATTAATTTGTTTTTAACCTGTCAATCCTTTACTTTTGAATAATAACTCCTTCACGCAAATCGAATATTTTCTCATGCTTCTGTTGCATCGAACAAACCCAAGTCCCGGAGTACAAAGAATGAAACAGGTGGGCCGGCGATTTATTTTGACGTTTCTTTTCAGGTGCAAAATGTCCAGTAGGTGCACTTGTCTGGCACTGTGCTATATGCGAAGAAGCTAAGAGCGTTTGCTTTGTGCTTTGTGCATGAAGACACCGACGAGACCTTAATGTGCACACGAGACAGGTCAGCTTGACTGGCGACACGCTATAATGAGCACGTAATGAGCGCACGCCCCTCAGTTCCAAGCTCGAGTCGCTTATTTTCAAACCCCACTGAAAACAGTTAAACCGACAGAGAAAATAAATAGAAGTGGCCATTTCTCCATTAAAATCCTTATCTCTATACCACAGCCCTCCTTTACAACTGTACAGTTTTGACCAACCCCTAGCGATGAGCGACTGTGTATTTTACTGTAGCGTTATTGTTCTGTTGATGTAATGAATAGTAGCAATTGTACGAAAAACAACAATAATTGTTAACAGTTTAAAGTTGATGATAATTAACTACGAATGCTAGCGTTCAAATCAGCTACCAGATACTGAAGATGTACGTATAAAAATGGTTGTGTGTCAAATAAACACTGCTAGACTAAAAAACACATAACATTCAGATATTAATGGGTGACTCTAGTCTCTGGATTAATTTGAAATGAATATCTGAATGCATACTATAAGTAGGCCACAAACATCAGATTTTTAATTTAAGATCAGGTGATGCATTTGATTTGACAGGAAGATGCACATCCTGAAGGTTATGAAAACAACACGACATTATGTTCCGCACCGCACCTTCTCCTGCTCAGATTTGTTTAGGGTTGCTAAGGAGAAGGATACACCTTTTCTCAAATAACGCTGCTTCTGTTACGGAGGGAGCAATGAGCAAATAGCAAATAACTGGAATCCAGTTTGGAAGAAATGGAAAACTTACGCGTTACCCACGTAAATCCTGGGAAATACCTCATTGTAGTGCTGTGTAGGCAGGCTGTAAAATCCGCTGCCGTTTGACAGCAGCTCGTTAAGTTCTTGCACTGAGATCTGGTAGTCTGACATGTTGACTTTGGCCGGGCTCTGGTTCTTCTTCATGTGGGAAAAGCCTGCGATACCCCGCGAGTTATTTTAGAGGGGTGAACAAGTGTCAGGTTACTGTGCGAGCCCGGGCGGTGTCGGTTTCTGATTTTGGACCATCGCTTTTTTTCTCTCTTTTCTGTGTGCTCTGTGGATTTCCAAGGCGCACTCGCTCGCTCCGTCACTCCCCGCCCGACACACCCCGGGCTTCAGTCCGCTTGCACACCAGAGAGGAACGGGTCGGAGAGAAAGGCGCTCCGCGGGGGAGATCGAGCGAGCGACGCGCACAGGGTGGCGACCAGGACGCGACAGGCACGGGGCGAGGAGGGAGGCAGGGAGAGGGGAGCAGTTAAAGGCGCCGCCGATCTGAAGCAAGACTCGCAGCCCTGCCGTCTCCGAGCTTTGCGCACACCAGGGAAAACCTAGGTTGGCCGGCAGAATGTCATGCTCTCCTGGGTATTGCCTACCTTTAAATTTCACGCTGGGAGGGGTGGAGGAGGGACATGGGAGATGGGGCTTAATAATGATAATAAGCTTGCATTTAAACAGTTTCTTAACCCCAAACGGTCCACATACTGTATACAGTATACATTGAAGAGGGACCCTTTGCATCCACCTGGTTGACGCACAGATGGCGTTTGCGTCAGGAACCCTTGTGCAGTAGGTGGAGAAGTGAGGAATTAGTTCACCAACTGAATTAAAGGGGGAAAAATACGTTGACAGCACTTTTGCTCAATTTAGGTACTGTAGGTCAGCTGGGTTAACATCCCTAACTAAGAAGAAATCTGATTCCTTTCCATCATTTCCACGAGGTGAGGATTGCTGTACTCTGAATGAAAGCTACCTCCTCTAGTTATAAAGACTTGGGCTATACCAATCAATGATCCATATTGGATCTACTGTACATCTCAACTGTGAATCTTTGTGTCTAAGGTACACGTCAACATCAATCAAAGGCTGTGTGTCCTATGATCTATTTCTCATTTCATAGAAGTCACTGTACGGACAAAGATGTGTTACAATACATGAATTATTTCAAGAAAGCCATCAGTTACTAATGTAAGTAAATGTATAACAGAGTTTGTTGCATGTTGTGTTGGCTGCTCAAGTGCTGAAATCTGTCAGTCTTATTTCCATTTGGGGTTTTCACAAGCTGGTTTTCAAAGGTTCTTTCTTTTCCCCCCCCTGACATCACTGAGAACCCCAGACCCCCTCCCCCCTGTACATTCCCAGCCAGGATGGTCAAACAGGCGTTGCTGTTCTGAAACAAAGGCCCTATTCTGTCTCATAAATAACCGAGCCAGCAGACTAGAGACAGCTCCTTACTGACATTGCCAGGATGGAGCCTCTTGATCTGTACCAATCCTGTCAAGAGTCAGAGAAAGCAGCTGGACAAGCCTGTCAGGTCTCTAGAGGGTTCTAAGAACATCAAGTGCCTCATTTCTTTCATGGCATTACACTCTAATATCTATTTTTTATATATCTTTTTGTTTGTATTTTACCATGGCTTGTAACCATTTTTCTTCACTTCAAAACAACACCAGCAGTTAATGTGACTGAAAATATTCACATCGATAACATAACCAGTAACATACCAGGGGTGCTTGCTGAGGTTCTGGAAAGGTGTACAGCAGAGGGCTGGCACACAACAGCAGCCTGGTGTTGTTTGTTTGCTTTTTAGGAATGTAATGAGCGTGGAGATAATTGCACAAGCCATAGACCATAGAAAGAGTTTAAATGTAATAAAGCTGTGATGGGATCTGGACTCTGTCGTTGCTTAGACATTAACGTAGAGAATATGGGTTTGTAGGAATAGAGAAACCCAGAGAAAGATGGGACAAATGTGTCTCTACACAGGGCAACAGTGTTACCGTCTTGTAGCCTGAGCTACAACTGAGCTGAAACTATGCAAGGCTGGGCCTCATCAGCACTGGGATGGGAGGCCTCCAGGTACCTGTTTGTAGGTGTTGGCCAGTGAGTAAGTGGCGTCCTTGTGTATTGACCGGGTTTTTCAAACCAATGCTCTGGTATGGTGACTGAGAACACTGTGCTACATTAGGTGCTGTCGTTGTCATGTGATATTAAATCAAACTTCTAACAACTTTCTCATTAAAGATCCCATTTAAGATCAGAGACACAGTCTCGTACTCTGTGTAAGGCAGAAAGCCCTTTGCCACTGGCTTGAAGGACAGTATTTTGCACTCAGTGCACAATTTAAAATAAATAGCGGCAATATGTCCTTGAAATACTGCACAAGATCTAGACTTATTAAATCATAATGTCACTTTGTATTTCAGCATATATATACTATCTTTTTCCTAGAATCTTTCTGCAGGCTTGTACTTTTCTTACCTTGAAGAGAGAGCTTTTATTTTGTTTTTGGCATAAGAATGCATATGTTGTCTGTGTTAAAGCACACATGCCCTTCTGTAGCCACACTTTGTCTCTGTAACAGAAGTATACCGAAGCTTAAAAGAAATGCAGCCCTTAGGTCAGTGGAGTCGGTCAAGTGGTTTAAACATGCATACAGTATCAAAGAAAATCACAGAAATGGTGAACAAAAGTATGGATTTAAGAATCTTCACAAGTTTGTAGTGTGACGGACTGTCAAATTAAAAATAATGACAAAGTTAGAACACCCCTGAGCTTTGATGTGTGGACCTAATCAGCCTCAGAGTAGACTGCTGTGGGAAGTTCAGCCACTCTTCCTGAGCTGCTGCAAACAGCTTGCAAAAGTTGTCTGGTCACAGTTGTCTACTGTTGATGGCACTGGTGTGTTGGTCATCCAGTTTTGATGACTTGGTCTGCCTGGGTCAAACAGTGAAGATAACACTCTGCCCATCTCTCTGACACCACCTCTTTGGTCCATCAAACATGGCTATCTCAACTCTCAGCTTAGTCCTGAACATCCTCTAAGCACACATTTCATATCCATGTGGACAGCAGGCTGCAATCATTGAGTTGTATGGAAAGAGCTCATGAATGAAATCCGAATAGACAAGTGGTGGCAGTGTTCTCATAGTGGCCTCTGGTGGTGAAAAGTGATAGTGCATTTGTTTTGCACAATAAAAGGGCAAGCATCAGATTTTCAATTAGGCTTTCGTTAAAGACCCTTGTAATCCTATTTTACTGGAGAAATGTACTACAGCTTCAATATATTCGAAAGGTTTTGTTCTTGGATAAACTGTTGTTTAATATTATTTTGATAAACTTTGATTTCTTTTGTCCGTGCATCTCTCTGTAGAGCGCTCTTACAAAGTTGTGGACAATTGGTTTGAGGTTCTCTCGTTTCATTGTCTGACGTGGATCATCAATATGTTCAGCCCCAGCTCTCCAGTGACCAGTCATTTAGTTTTCCGATGCCCTGTGTTTGCACATAGGGTTGTGTCTCCTGTTTTCTAGCCTGAGCGCTTTTAATCTTAATTGCTCACTGAACTTTACTTGTGACTGTGCCTTTTCTGTTGCTGATCCTTTGTTATTGAATACCCTTCTTCCACAGAGAGGCAAATTCTTTGACCCTTTTCAAATCTAAACTTAAAACTTACCTTTTTACTGTGTCTGACTATCTTACAGATTGTCCTGCCTGTTGGTGTTTAATTTTATTTACTTTTTATTATTTTGTCTGTTTTTATTTCTTATACAGGACCTTCTGTGAGTACAGTATCTTTGGGTTTGGTAAGAAGCTTTACAAATAGATGTTATTATGATAAATTGAAGCTCTTGAGATTCATAATGTGGCTAATCTTAAAGCTGTCCCACAGGACTGAATCTGCCTACACCTTTCAGGTTTTTGCATACCTGCAACAAACCCCACTGTGATCCTCTCTCTTGTAGATTAAAAGGTTTCATTTATCTTAATCTGTCTGAATATGACATTTCTGTCAGGCCTTTCTGTACTACTGTATATCCAGGACAGTAATCTCTTTCATGTATCATGGAGGAGGAAACTGCACATGACATTGAAAATGAAGTCTGCATGAAGTGTGCATTGCATCATTTCCACATTGTTAATCTACATCCAGAATTCTGCAGTATGAACTTTAAATATTGGACATTGGACAGTTTTATTACTTCCTGATCCACAATAGATGATGAAAGTGGGTCAACATTAAAGCCTCAAATCATTCATGGATTACATCTTTTAGTTTAGTATCTCACAGTTCATATTAAAAATGTACATTTTCTGGTCTTCAAGGAATGCATTGCATTGATAAGTTGATAAAATATTATAATTGCATTTGACATTAGTCATTGGTGGGCTGGACAAATGATGAAATGGGGCAGAAGGAAGGAAAGAAGGGGAAAGAGATCAGGTGAAGCAGGCATTGAAGAAAGTAGGAGTAATGAGCAGGAGGAAAGGTTAAAGGAAGTGGCTCCATAGGCATATTTCCTGTTTGTCATTATACATACATCCTGTGCTCAGTGTCATATGACATTTCTTGCATAAGTAGCCATATCATCGGTATAATCAAGCCTGATTTATGCTTGTGCCTTTTTTTGCTCTAGAGCATTATTGTGAAATGCTAAGCTGTGTTGAAAGGTGCTAAGGTATTTGCAGACTAACTTAATTCTCCATATTTGGCTATACCAAATATGAGTAAAACAAATGTCTTATCTCTACATGGGTTTGACACAAGCAGAGTAAAATAGTTAATACAGTAAGTACAATAAAGCTGTATAAAAATAAACTAATTTAGCATGTCCAATATTGTTTTTAGTGTAATATTGGGGAGATTTAGAGGCAAGATTGGAAGCTGGCACCCTGCAAAAGAAATTAGACCCCACATATAAGGAAGATATAATTGAACTAGTACTCAGAAGTAGCTTTGTGGTTTTACAGTTTTAAATAAGCTATGTGCAATCTTTGTCGACTTCCTCCAGTTTTTGTCCCCGTTTCCTTTCTTTTCTCACTCTTAGATGCTTAACTCTTTTCAGATGGTGTCGGAGAGAGGCAGTAGCAATGTCCGAGTCCGTGACCTACACTGAAATAAAATTCAAGAGAGATCCAGCTCAGGAGGCATCTCTGGCAGTCAACCCTCCATCCAACACCCCTCCATCAGCACAATTGTATTGTAAGTACAGTACTTCTTTCAAAAATAAAGATGTAATTTGAACTGAGATAGACGTTGAATGTTCATCTGTATTATACAACACTGATATATGCACATTGCCTTGTGATGACAGAGTTGAAATTTATACTGATTATCAGTTCTGTACAATGATAAAAACGTACTATAAGTATCTCAAACATTTTTTCCAATTGAGGAAAACCAGCAGCATTTTAGTGTTTTGTGGTGATGGTGGCTTTTTATTTGGCAGTGTATAACACTATTAAATACAATTATGACATCTCAGTATTGTGTACAATATAAATTTAATACTAAAATGACACGAAGAAACCGTTTTTCGAGAAGTAAATGGAGAACTGATTTAGGGCAGTTATGGATTTTACCTATTGTACTGTATGTGTCTGTATGGTTTGAATCTGTTTAAGATGTTTTTACTGGTCTTTTTTACATTTCCTCTTTTTTTCTTCCTTTTCAAGAACTAAATGCTTGCCTTAAGTGATTCATTTATCTGATGGGCATTTTAACATAATGTTTAAGGCTGCAAGTAGACATAGAAATTAAATATTTTGACAGCGACTTTCTAAACTTTCCTGTGTTGGGTGAACGTCTTACCTATATTGTATTTTTAATGATACCTCATTAACCAGAATGGATAATAAATTATTTATTTCTTCCCCACAGCAAAACAGGTTGTCTATGTTCTGGGAACAATTGTGCTGGTTCTTCTGATCATAGTGTTTGGCTTGACCCTTGCAAGTAAGTGAAACAGATTGAAATTAATTTAAAAGATTTTAAAACACAGACTGTAATATTACCACAAAGTAAACAGTGACTTCTATACTACATGCTCACTACGTTAACAGCACTGGAATCCAGCATTTAAATCAACCAGTCTGCTAGAATATTTTACCTACAATAGCCTAGGCACATTATTTTTGTATTCAGGAGCTGTTGGAGTTAAATTTTGTCAAGTCACAAATATATAGCTGCAGAAAAACTACATAGTTATAATAAAATAAAACAGATGTCTCTCACAGTAACAGGTATTGAGGAATTAGTATATGCACCCTTTACAAATGTTTCATTATTCTATACTGTATCTAACTGACTTGTAATGACATTTAGTATTTGAAATTACTATTAATTTCTTCTGTGTAATAGTGCCCATGTACAGGTGCACGAAAGCAGTGTTGTTTAGTTAGACTGTGTAGTACTGTAGTTGACAGATCATGAGTCAAGCATGGAGGGTGGGTTGTGCCACAGTTTGGCTTAAAGTAGATCTGCTGATCTACAGAAATAATACCTGTAGCCAACTTGCTTATTTTCTGTTGTACGTTTTACTTACTCGTGGAGATGTCATAGTGGACAGAGGGCTTCCAGGAAACATCTGTCTGTTCCTCTAGTTGCCCACTTGCAAAGAGAGAAGTGCAGCCCTGACTCCATGAGACACAGAGAGCAGATGTCTTGTGACCAACAGTGCATGGAGAATCTCATCACAACACACGAAGATCGCTGTCAACTTCTCAAGAAATGGTGTGGCTGGAATACAAGTAAGGCTGTCATTCTATGGCAGTAATGGTAAAAAGGACCAAGTGCTTTTCTCAGTCTAAGTCCATTTTGGACTAAAAAAGAAACTTTCAAAACCGCCAATATATCACCTCCTGATGTGTCACTGTAGTGATGTCTTTGCAGTTTCGCAAGTTTCTTTCTGGATTGATTTTTGTGAAAAATTTGGAATCAGCAGTTTTCCTTTTTAGGATCTGGCTCTCCAGCAGTAACTCCCTTACCCACTCAGGAGAGCAATAGGCAAGCAGACATACTCCTCTGGCACATTCACCTGTAAAAGCCATTTGTCTTTCTCTGTCCTGCAAGCTCTGTGGAGCTGAACAAGGGACATGGAGCTCATTCCCAAGTATCCCAAGTATCCCATACCCCACTGATTTCACTAAAAGCTTGTAGACTCTTGACAAGTCACAAATCAGGACAGTTATCTGAACAGCTTTCAGCAACACTAGTAGACCCTGCCCACCCTGCCACAGCAATACTTTGATGATTGTGTGCTACCATCATGGCTTCAGTCAGCTTTAATGTGGTGACATCTATAGCTGAGGGCTCAGCTTGTGCTCTCATAGAGCACCTTTACTGGTTGAGCAACTTGACAGCCCCTTAGCAGTTAAATGCAACCAAGCCTACAGTATCGATTAAACAATGAGATGTGCCATTTCATCTATTTTATTTCTTTCTTTCCCGCTATTCCTCTGAATATGTCTACAAATACAAAACATACAGGTACAGCTCTACCATATACGATATATAGCTGTGTAAACTGATTTTACTTTGCCCAGGATGATCCATTTAAATATTTTGCTGTTGATTATGTAACAAAGAATGGAGGTTCTTATTCACATACCTTAACTTTTTCAGGGCCACATGAAGGACTCTCTTTCTCCCAGTGGATAAAACATAAACAGATTTACTATTCATTTGTCCAACAAAATGAGACATGGGAGACTGCAGCCCAGATCTGTTCTGAAGAAGGAGGTCATCTTGTTGTGATCAAAGACTTAGACACCATAGTAAGAGTGAAAAAGTGAAATATAAATTGATCCTCATATAAACACACAGTTCATTGATCTGCCTTTGAGTCTGTCATATATAAATGTACATGGGTTAAGAGTTCATTGGCTCATTTTAACATTGTAGTAGATAAATGAGATGCAATTATATACTTATGGAGCGGTTTTATATTTAAACGGGAGGGTTCTGCACAAGCATTACACAAACCAAAAGTTAGAATTATAGTATTCTGAGACAAAATGGAGATAAAGTGAATTTGGCATACCACTAAATTTACAAACTTATTAGCAAGTACTTCTTTTTACAGCAGAACTACCATGACCATGGAATGAATAATGTCATGTCTAAAGCACTGAAGGCTAATCTACTGAAGAATGTTGTACCCGTGTATGCTCCTCTTTCTGTTTTGGGGTTTTGCCACAGCTATTTTGAAAGGGAAGGGTCTGTGCTAGTATAAAATGCATAGGATAAGACATACTGTATTTGTTATCATGTTGGTGCAAGTTTTGGAATGACATAGGCACGGCATTATTCAGAATTGTCATTAATGTCTTCTTAAAGCATAAATAATAAGGTAAAAAATAATATGTCTCACTATTAAATATTTCTCCTGAATGGAAGAGAACAGATTAATTGGTGTCCCTGTGTTACCATTTCTAGGAATTTATCCGCCAAAATCTCTTAGGAAATTACCATTACTGGATTGGATTAAAGAAAAATGAGAGTATTAACCAGTGGCAATGGCTGGGGAACATAGCCTTTAACTCAACGTAAGTGCATTTGTTTGTCCCTCTTGTAGTTATATATGTATATTATGTACTATATCTTATACAAATTAATCTATATAGTATATAATGAAAAGCACTTTGAGAAGACACTTTTAAAATACTTTTATTATTATTGTTATTATTATTATAAATATATGCAGATAATTGAAATGTGGAAAATATTAGAATTAAGATTATAACTATGATTTATATTATACTAATTATATTAAATACTTGCAGGTGCCTATACTGACTTAATGAAAAACATTTAAAAAATCATTTCCATGAAAGGCTGCATTTTCAGCTTCTTGTGTACATTTTTCTGATTTAATTTTTGCTTTTTGGAGAACAGTTCTGAATGGATTTAGAACAAGACCCAGCTCAGGAGTCTGAAACATCTGCCCTAGTTTGATCTGAGAGCTGTGCTGAATAGCTTTGCTAACTAAGAAATTTAAATTATTCTAAAGGTTTGGCAGAACAGACTTTTCTTCAATGTGCTATCTTACAAAGGTTAATATCTGTGTCTTGTTTTCAAAGGTTTTCCTTTAGTAATACAAACCACACTCACAAGGACTGTGCAATTATATCCAAGGTGAGTTTTTTTGCGGATGAATGTAGGAACAGAAGATTCAGCATCTGTGAGAAGATTGATATCAACAAACAATATTTTCCTAATACCATTTGTCCAGCTTTAAAGCCACGTGAGAAAACATAATCATCATGAACTTTTCTCAGCCTTCTTCAAGTCTGATTCTGTTTCTTTTTTTGCGACAAACAATATTTTGCCTTTAAAATTTCAAAAATAAACTTTTTAAAATAAGTATACTGTATTTTTATGTAAAGCTTACATCCATGGACAGAATGCCCCTAACAGTGGCAAGTCTATCTCCAGCAGGAACATTTGCAATATTGATTTCTCCAGTTTCAGTGCTGTCGTGTGTTGGTCCCTGGAGAGCTAAATTCATAACAACATAAACACATACAGTAAGACAGTTTTGGTTTGGTCGTTAGTAGCTAATTGATTTGAGGATCATAGCCAGCTCTTTCTCGAAACAAGCAATGTTATTGGCTTTGACAACATGAGATGTAGTTGTCAACAGTAGCTGGGCAGGCTCCTGGCAATCCAGCAAGGTGTACAGGCGTCTTTGAATAAGAGCTCCTACACTGATCCAATTAAGCAAATCAGTGGGACTGAAAAAATAAGAGTTCTGAAGACACAGCAGCGCTCAAGGACTTGGACTTGTGCTGCACACCTCCGCCCTGGATATTTCACTCATGTGCCTGGAGATGAGGGGCTACTCCTTCAACAGCAGATGGCACACTCTGCATGAGATGTACTACTGATCGCAAGAAACCTGCGTTTCCATTTTTGGTGTTTTTTTTTAAACTACCTCCATTCGTTTATAAACGTGAGAATTTTCGCATTTTTGATTTGCTTTGCAGCGTTTGCTTACATTTAACTTTTATGTAATCATTCAAGTTTCACGTACGTTTAAGTATTCAAATAGTGATTCAAAATATTTAGTTTAAAAATTAAAAAAGTATTTTTTATCATCATGTACCATTTTGTAATTCAACAAAATGATACATGATTGGAAGGGGTGGATACTTTTGCTAAGGTACTATAAACGTTATACCTTAAATATTCCTAAACGTTTTTCTACTTTGCTTTGCATCAGTCTTTTAACTCCAGTTTTCTAATTATTAGTTTTTTGTAAACAAATTAATATTTGTATTTGAACTCATATTAGGTCCAATTTAAAACTTAAGATGACCTCCAAGCTGCAAATTACAATCCCAATATTTTGTAGTTTCCATTGAGCTTCTTTTATGGGTCTTTGCAAACTTTATTTCATAGAGTTGGTGGGAGAAAATGTAACTTAATTTAATAATTGATCTAAAATATGAATAATGGATTTTGTGGTCTCTGATTTAAAAAGGGCCTCCAGTTAACTGTTACAAACTGTAACAGTTACTGATCAAAATACTGATTTGATGTCTGTATTTGTTGTTAATAAGAATGAATAAGAAGCAGTTTTCTGTATTTCTAAGTAATGGTGTCATCAATAAAAACAATTGTGTATACTGTTGTGAGATTGTTAAATTGAAATAACGTTGTTCAGTTCTCTAGGAAGTTAAATAGTACCAGATCTTATTTGATGCTCATTAGGAAGTATGAGAGCCAAAGAGAGGTGTCAAAGAGCTGTCATGCACATCAAAGGGAGACCATAAGACAATGAATATATACTGTATAAGGAATTGCAATTGAATATTTTAGTGTTTGATGTTAACTCACCAAGCTGAGGAAATGACAGGGCTGGCAAAACCCTCTAAATGGAACCTTAAAACCTGATTCAGATTTGCTCAATGATTAAAACCAGCAACACATCTTTCACCTTTCGTTATCCTCGTAGCATGACTACTGCGTATGAGTTTGAATGGAAACTGGGAATTGATTAATCCCAAATCCGTCACTTCTTCTCCATGAAATTGATCTGTTTTAGCAGCACAATTGTGCACAAATTGTTCTCCTTGCTGTCAAGATTCACAGAGCTGTTTCCCAGAAAATCTCATATTAAATTTTGAATCATATATAAATATCCTGTGGACATTCAGGTTATTACACATTTGCACTGTGAATATCAGCCCATAAGAATAGTACATTTATGAGTTCTACCATGGGCAGCACGGAGATGCTACTAGGGCAACGATAGAAGTGGTAGGTGGGTATAAGGAATGTCACAAAACAATGAATGAGGAGTTCATTGCATATGGACTTAGCTGGCTTAGCAGAGAATTAGTCATTTGCTATCGAAATTATCTTACATATGTTACTTTTTTGTGAACAAAAACAATATTTGACAAAGACCCAATGCAACCACATTGATTGCATTGAACCGCAAATACCAAGTTAACCAGGTGATCAATGCCTCCACGTTTTAAGGTACAAGTGAAACTAAACCACACAAAGCACCAATTTACTAAAAACAGAAATGTCTAGTTTGGTTGGAAACAAAAACAATGGATCAAAGCACCCATATTACCCAAAAACCTTCCCAACCAGTTTGGAATAGAGAAGTAGAGAGCAAGGTTTCAGGACAGTTCTAAGAGCCCTAAGTGATGAGCACCTTCTGACTTTTATGAAACAAATAGAAGCTGTATTTTAGACTTTCCTTATGTAATAGATGAGGAAGGTTTCTATTGGTTATTTCAGCTATGTTAACATTTCTTTCTTTCCGCCTATATCATTTTTATATTTCAGAAAAGCACAGCACGGTTGCAAGCATTTCAGACACAGTCGTGTCACTTTACCTGTAACAGCTATGGTTCAGAAGTTCTTTGCTCAATGGATTCAGAAATCGCAGGTTCTGGAAAATGACAAACCACCTCAAGTTTGGCCACATGTGGGTAAGTGTTTAAGTCCTAGGATGATATTCCCAGAATACAAAATTCAATTTCAATTGTATACAACAGCATACAATTGAAATGAAAATATAATTAGCTCTTTCTTCACTTTATACACTAATTCCTCTTTCTTGCCACAGTTTCAACTCCAGTGAAATCTTGGGATTATTCAGCAAATTTACATCAATGGATTCTGCTCCCTTTTGTAGTTCTCTGCTTCCTGTTGCTCATTACCAGTATAGTTCTGGGTGTTCTATGTGAGTATATTTCAAACATTAATAAACTGTTGCCTATAATTCTTTCAGTATTGTTTTATTTTAGGTGTATGCTATATGACATCAGGACAGTATTTGTGTAAAAGTTTTCTCTGTACTTGTTTTGTCAGTAATATATTCCTAATATATGGTACAGTATGTATATTAGACATGTATAATTCAAAACCTACAATAAAAATTTAATAAGTTGTTTTTCTGTAATGAAGTAAAGAATGCCTTATAATGCACAGTGAAAATAAACTTAAGTGGTAACTATTAAAGTGTTACTATTACAGTATGTTACATTACTAATAAAGTGTGGTTCTAGTTTTCCTTGTTTGAAGGAAGAGTTTTACCTAGCCCTTACGTATGTAGCATAATAAAAGTATTTTTTAACTTACCACTTTAAGACAGCAAAAATAATTAAATTTTTCTGAATTGCACAATCTGAAAGTGTGCAATTATTAAAATGACCAGTTAAGCGTAACATTAGGCAGATGAAATTAGAACTCTTTCCTTACTGATACAAAGCTTCTTTTCAGTTTTTTATTTCTGTGTGCGGAAGTGTATGGAGTAACCAGACCTGATTGGTTTTTAATTTGGTAGTTGGACTTGTGTTTGCACCACTGTACTTATTGTGGCAGAAACGACTATTTTTTACAATACAAAAACTAATTTTATTTTTTAAAAACATTTGCAATGATTATGCCTAATAAAATGATATATTGATTTTCAATCACACCCAGAAACAATTTAACACAAAAAATATACACCTGAAGATGTTTGTGTGGAAATTAATTTGTAATTATGATTACTTTAAACATTGCTAAAATATTACTGTATTACATTGTGAATATGTACTATTAAATTGCATTAAAGCATTTTATATTTAAAATATATAATACAGTAATTATCTAATTATAAAAGGTTATTTAGGGTTTTTTCCGTTCTCTTTGTAAATGTGTCCAGTATCTAGTGGATATTGTAACATTAACTGAAGATTTTGATATAATATGTACAGTATACCATGGATTCCCCTTGTCTACAAAATGTTAAGTTACTTTTAGTTAGCAATTTTGCTTTATTACTGTAGTTTAGGAATCCTCCGAAGGTGAAATTCCATGTTAATTACATAGTAGAAAAAAGTGCCACTTCTAAGCATTTTAAAAATTCTGGCAGTATTAATCAAATTAATCAAATTTTTTGTCAGATAACAGAGCATCGAGAGA